AACCAGGTCTTCAGCAGAGAAGATCCTATCTCTGTCGTCAGGCTCCAGGGCACCCTGAGGTGCCCGAGGAACCAAACCACTCCGCCTTCCACCTTTCCAAAGCCTGCATGTACCACAGAGCTTAAAGAGATGAAACAAAACGGATACTCATATCTGCCTGGAGGACAGATCTACAAAGCTCACTTGATGTTTAAGATGCTCACAAGATTAGGATAATTCAACAAAGGCAACGTCTAAGTCAACAAAAGCAACCAAAGGAATAAGTTCCACGGACATGATGTGCTTTGAGTGGAAGAATCAGGTCCGGCTTGCTAAAGCACAAAGCCCGGTCCAGCTCCGCCATCTGCCAGGCCAACCCAACCATTCTGTTAATACAGAATGCCAGCGGCAAATCTAATTTGAAATTTTTCTAGTAGCCGCACTTAAAAAAAGTAAAAAGAAACCAGTCAAATTAATCTCAAAACAAACTTAATGGCCAACATATATAGGAAAAGATGCTCCACATGACTGATTAGGGAGCTGCAAACCTAAACCACAATGAGTTATCGCCTCACACCTGATAAAATGGCTATTACCAAAAAGATAAGAGATAACAAATGCTGGTGAAGACGGGAAGAAAAGGGATACTGTTGGTGGGAATGTAAACTAGTGCAGCCACTGTGGAAAACAGTATGGAGGTTCCTCAAAAAATTAAAAATACTTCTATCATATGATCCAGTCATCCCACTTCTGGGTACACATCTGAAAGAACTGAAAGCAAGAGCTCAAAGAGACATATGTATATCCTGTTCACAGCAGCGTTACTCACAATAGCCAAGAGATGAAAGCAACCCAAATACCCATCGACAGATGAATGGACGAAGAAAATGTGGTCTATACACACAATAGAATATTATTCAGCCTTAAAAAGGAAGGAAATCTGCTTCACATGCTTTAGCAGAGATGACCCTTGAGGACATTATGTTAAGCGAAATAAGCTAGTCAGAAAAAGCCAAATACTGTGCGACTCCACTCATGAGGTACCTAGTTAGAGTCATCAAAATCGCAGAGACAGACGGCAGAATGGTGGCTGCTAAGACCTGGGTGGGACACAAAAATGCAGAGGTGCTTTACTGGCTACTGAACTTCAGTTTTGCAGGACGAAAAAGTTCTGAGAACTGGAAGATGTGAAGATACTCAACACGACTAAAGGGTAGTACAGTTACAAACACTTACGATGGTAAATTCTGTGTTTATCACACTCACACACACACACACACGAAATATATATATATAATTTAACCCCCATATTCAAAAATCTCAGCATACAATTAATATAAAAATGACTGAGATATCTTACGTTCTTTTTTATATGCTAAGTCTTCAGACTCCAGTGTGTATTGACACTGACTGCACATCTCAGTTTGGACTAGTCCCATTTCAAGTGCTCAATACTCACGTGTGGTTTCCCCACCGGGCCTGTGGTGGGCTCGACCGTACCTGTCACCCCTACCTGACAAACCTTATAGCTGGATCCAAATAACAAAACTTTTTTTTGACAGGTGTTGGCAGGGTCGTCTTCTTGCAAAACCTTTTGGGAAATCTTTATTTTTTATTTTTTTCATATTTTTATTAATTTATTTATTTTTAAATTTACTTATCTTATACAGAAGGTTCTTATTAGTTATCTATTTTAAACATATTAGTGTATACATGTCAATCCCAATCTCCCCCTTTTGGGAAATCTTATTTGTCCTCGGTCAGCTCTATGGAAAGGACAAAGCTCAAACGATGCTGAACATCTCCCAAGGACGTGCAGGACATCATGCCCCTCCCTCCGACCCTACTCTGAGAGCTCACAGCTTAAAAGAGGAGCTGGTAACCAGCTAAAGCAGGTACGAGATGCTGAGGGATGGACGCGAAGAACAACGCAATTAGCTCCCACCCGTGATTTCTGATGTGCCAGGGAACAAGTATAAAGTTTAAGTCATTTACGAAAATGACGTATGAGAGTTGTTAATGACTAGCATTCACCTATATCCTGACCTTTCTCAGCTCTGATGTGCAACTGCTTTGAGTACATTTTCAAAGCACGAATTTGTACAGAATTTAGTACACATTTATATTAAAAATACACACAGAATAAGCACACTCACCAGAAAAGGCACTCGGCAAACCAATACCTCTGCTGGTGATTCTGATTCGAATAATCAAGCTCTTCACTGATTAAGAGGGCATTTGTCAAGCTAATCCTCCCAGAGTGTAAAGAGACTAAAATTTGGTGAAAGTGAAAAAACTTTCTCTCTCACACCTGAATATAACATTCTTTGAATACAGCATTCTTTGAATATACCTTCAGAAAAATTGAAGACAGGGAGGAAAATAGGAAGACGTTTCTAGTACAAACACCTAACTGCTGTACATCCCAGACAAGAATTTACTTTCTCAGTAGAACAAAGTGCAAGAACAAAACTGCCACATACATGCTCTCCACCCCAAGTCACTCAGCAGAAAAATGCTCTGTGGCTAAGGGAAGCCCTAAGGAGGACCTCTTTGTAACCTCACATTTGTGCTGCACTGGTTGAAACCAATATAATGACTTCTTTGTGAAAAAATGTATTTTGCAGTAAATTATCAAAAGCTTCACTGAAGATCTTAATGGACATGGCTGAGTAAGGAGTACTAAACACGGCTATGTTTAGAGAACCCAAATTTACCAACTCAGCGTTACTTCAGGGGTCGCTGGGCACTGAACTATTTTAAGAATAGCCAGGGAAAAAAGTTACAGACTACAAAGGGTGCAAATTTTATTCTTTAATTTAACACACTCACATCTAAATCCCCTCCTCCCACCAGCAATTCCTCCCTCCCCCATCCCACCTCCTCCCCCCACCCCACCCAAACAAATCTCGCAAGAACTTAATACTGAAAACTTACCTTGGTGCATTAACTTCAGACAAACCCCTCAGAACTTATCATTTAATCCTATGCATTAAACTCTAAGTTATCACACCAACCTACGGGAATGTAGTTAATACCATAAAATTACACCTCGGGATCCACTGCTTTACACCTCACAGATAAAACCATAACTTTGCTTAATAATTTAGACTGTGATCTCTCTAAAGCTCTACATCTGTCATCTCAAGTAACGGTGCTTACCTTATAATTTGCTTGCTAAACGGCACGTCACCAAAAAAAAGCATTCATGCCTATCCCTATTAAAAAAAAAAAAAGAAAAGAAAGAAAACAAAACACTGCCTCACTCACTATTCCTGGTTAAGGAAGGAATATTTCAGGGAAGGAGAAACTATTTCCATGCACTAAGCCATCTGATAAAGGGGTCTGCACGGAAAAACTATAATGGCTTCCAGAGGATCCTTAAAATACATGGGGTTTTAAACACGCACACCATAAGGCCCCATTAATTCATTTAGTAACTCGTTCACTCGTAAGTCCTCATATAGTCAAGAGCATTTTCAAGGGCAGAAAAATATATGCCAGCACCGAGACCTTCTAAGGCTAAAATGAGCTCAGGAGTAGCAATAAGCAATAACTAAAGTAACAGCAATAATAAAACTTCCAGCTCCTTTCCCGAAGGAGGGGTCCTAAGAAAGCATTTAGCAGGAGACACGCAGCCAACGTGTATAGCTGCTGGTATTTTTGTCATTTGTCTGCCTCTTCCGAGGTGTGCCCAACCTCTGACAAATGACCGAGGTCCTGAGGTTCTTGCTAACTCTGCAACATGGGGACGGACCTGCACGGTTTACTGAACTGTAGATTATGAAGACTGAAGTCTACGGTATTTGCAAAAGCAAGATTTGTTACTTATGTGTTCCAGCAGTTACGTGGCTACTCTGATGATTTTGTTTTAGTTAGCCTTTGGCATGGTGTCACCTACGTTTTAATAGAATCTATGCTGGATTTCTTAATTGGAAACGCTGCCAACTTACTTGTCTCTCTTTAACGCAGAAGAGCTAATCTGGACAAACTGTAAATGAGATTCTAGTGAATCCTGATCAAGACATGAACCTTTTCCACTACTGGGGAACAGCGATTTGAACCGACACACTCACCCCTTGATCAGGGTGGTTAAGCACTCTGCATACTCAAAGCCATACCTTGGAGGCTCAAGGGTCAAATCAAGCCCGCAGATGTTTTTATTTGGCTTACACAGTGCTTTCAAAGTTCTAAACAAGTTGCCAAAGCATCAGGAGATTTGGCATCAAAATCTGCATTCTCGGATTATCTGGCCCTATAGGAAAACCTACCAACATGAGACCACACACCCTCACAGCCCCAGCTGGGAGCAAAATGGACAAGAGCAAACGCTCTCCAAGCTGCCATAATCCCCACCAGCTCAGTTCCCTCACCGATGGGATTGCCAGATTTTTCTGGGGCATTTATGTTTGCCACTCCTCCTTCAGATTCTGAAACTGTCTTTAATCCCTGAAATAAAGACCCACAATCTAATCTTATTAGTACTACGTCCAAACCCTCCAAGCAAACAAAATAAGCCCAAACAGGAATCTGAGTAGAAAACAAAATATTCTCATGGTTCTATGGTGGTAATGCTGATATGAACTATTTCATCTTCTTAAAATGTCATTTTTGAAAACGATTCACTTCTCTCATCCCTTCTTCCACACTTTTGGTTAGGTTATTACTCTATCTGCTGCTAACTGATTGAGTCCCTTTCAAGTAGAATGTCATTAATGAGGAAATCTTAGGGGTTAGGACAACATGCCACCGTTGGATACTTTAATGAAGGCACCAGGGGTTCGAGATATGCTGCCCAATAGGCTGATGCTTGGACCTCAACTCATCGCTGCCACAGAACTTGGTAACGTGTTTTTTAAACGTTGGTTGGATGTTTTATTTGACGTATGCGTCATTCCCAACAAAACATAGAATATATCTGTAAAAGGATTCTCAAAGGGGGCTTTAAATGCTACACACAGTCTCTGGACAGAGACTCAAGCAACCACACGTGCACTGCCGCTCCCCCGGGCATTGCTTACCCATCGCACTGAGATAATGGTTGAAGGCCTGGCAAGGAGGACTTGGGGTTTGTGTTGATTTGTCACAACTCATGGGTGCCGGGCTCCTGTCTGTGTCAAAAGAGAAATACCCACTGGAGGATCGAGACAGCAGGGAAGATCTTCTCACGAAGATGAAAAGCGGGGATCTGGTAGCGAAAGGGCCGGGACTGGCCGGTGGGGCCAGTGGGCCCTGTGGGCTGCCTTGGGGGCAGCGGTCCCCTTCTCCTTCGGGATTACCTTGCCGCTCTGTCTGTAGAGAGATGGGGGCCCCAGGCCTGAGCTGAGGAGGCCTTTCGGCAGGCTGCAATTGTCCACCTTCTCTGTCACACTCAGAACTTACATCGGAAGGTTGCTTTGCCATTTGGTCTTTTTTTCTGCAAGGAAAATTAAAACTAGGGTTACCTTAAGCAAAACAATAATTACAACGAATACCTAAATGGGTAGACTTTCACCTATTCATGAAAAATCCTTAGAATTAATGCCCAACACTTTAATACTGTCATTGCTTATACAGGAATACTTTTCCATAGGCTCTTCCAAATAATAATAATAATAACCTGCATAACAAAGGTAGCATTATCTTTGTTTGGGGGGGGTGAGGTGGGTTGGAGGGACTAAATTCCCTACCACCAAACAAAACACAGCAACAATGTCAACTACTAGTGGAACTAGTGCTCTACCACCACACACACACACACACACACACACACGTTTTAGGAGAGGCTGCTTGTTTGAGATCTATTCACATGTGCTCTTTGCTCAGGCCCGACTAGAGTAAGTCAAAAACTCCCAGCGGGCTCTGATTTCCCGGGATCAGATACACCGCTGGAGCCCAGGAGCGGGCGCAGATGCAGCGATTGCAGGCGGCTGGCCGCGTTCCCCGCTCCGGCCCCATTGTTCTGCCGAAAGTGCTGAGGACAGCAAGTCTGGGGAAGGTTTGGCAAGGGCCGTCAGTCGTAGTAAGTGCGTCACAATAGAGTTTGTAACTCAGCGCGGCTCGGCCCAGCCGGGCTCCGGCTCTCCGCCCGCCCGAGGTCCCTCCCGCTCCCGGCTCGCGCGCCCCTCCTCCGGCTGCGGGGGCGGGGAGGGGGGTAGCGCGCCACACCGAACTCGCCGGAACTTCTCCGAGGTACACCCGCACTGTTAGGTGCACACCTCCAAATGGGAGGGGGTCCCCAAAGCCGTCCCCTGGCGACCCCTGCAAAGTCTACAAGTAACTCCGCACGCTGGGCGGCATCGGGGCGCGCGGCTCCCGTACCCCATAGACTCTCCCCTCCGAAGGCAATCAGGCCGAAACTCACGTCCGCCCCTTCCCTTCCGAGCGTCGCGTCCGGGCCGGGGCCCGGCGGCGCCCAGCCCGCGCCCTTCGCCGACCCGGAGCCCCCTGACCGTCAACACGAAGGCGGCCCGGGAGACAAAGCCCGGGACTCGCGGTCGGAGCGCCCGGGGCAGCGGAGAGCCTGCAACTCGCCGCCCGTCCGCTGCCGCGCTCCGCCGGGCAGCTGAAGGCTCCGCACGCCGCGTCTCCGGTACGCGCTACCGCGGCCGCAGCCGCCGGGAACATCCTCCGCCTCCTCCCGCTCCTCCCCTCGCGCACTGCGCCCGCCGCCGCCGGCACCGCCGACCTCCCCGCGCCGCTGGCGCCGGGTGCCCGCGCTCCCAATTGGCCCTCGTGCGGTCGCTCCGCGCCACAGCCAATCGCCTGCGGCGGCGGGGGCGGCGCCTGCCCGACAGGCCGCCAAAGGCCAGGCGATTGTTGACAAACTCGCCTCCGAACGCGGCTCCGGCCGTCGCTGCGGCGAGAGCCGCGGCGAAGGTTTCCGCGGCCTCGGGGCCGGAGGCTGCCCAGGCTACCCCGCCCCGCCCCTCCGTCAGTCCGGGCGCCGCGCGCGCCTCCGCAGCTCCCGCCGCCCCCAGTAGCCAGTCACCTGGAGACAAAACAGGACCTTCACGGCCGGCCCCAGACTCCAGTCCCAGCAGCCGACCCCCGCCCAGGCCCGCTAAGATGCGGACCCTAAAGGTCACCCCCTCCCCAGCTGTAGCCCCCATCCTCCTCCAACTTCCTCCCTCTTTCTCCCCGTGCGCCACGGGACACGCACCAAATCTGAGCGGCTACCCCTGGCCACCGACGCGCATTTCCGCGCGCACCCGTGACCACCGCAGACAAGGAACACATCCATAGCCCCATCCCCGGTGTCCGGCGGGCCTTCCACTACCTGCGCCAACCCCGAGTAACAGGCCCCCGAGGGCACGGCACTGCCAGCCGGCACTGCGCTCGGGCACGCCCGAATCGCTAAGACGGTCTGGCCCCACGGTCCGGGCAGGTTCTACAGCCAGCGGCTGGTCCATCGCGTGGCCCCAGCGGTCGGAGGAGGCCCTCTGTCTCTCGCTGTCTGTGGACCGTGCGTCTGGCATCGTCCGCAGGGCGCCCGCACACCGGACAGGACCCCCAGACACGTCCGAGAGAAAGGACGAACGCAGCAGTTGCCCAAATCGTCGGCCTGAACGAGTAAAAGGAAAAGCCGAGTCCCGTCAGTTTAATCACCATCACTGTTCCATAAATCCTTCACAGCGGGCCCGCGCCCGAGAAAAGCCGAGACGCGAGTCCGGCTCGTACCTCGCGGCAGCTACTCGTGCGCCGCCGGGGCGGGCGGCGAGACTTCACGGCTGGGCGCGCAGCCCAGTCCTGCGCGGCGGCCCCCAGCTCCCGGGCCAGTGCGGAGAGCACGCGCTGCCTCTCCCAACCGGCCCGGAGACGCTTCACCACCCCCGCGCGCCGCATCCCCGCCCGAGCCGTACTTCGACTAACTGCTCGCAGCCTCGGTGCGGACGACCCCTCCCCAAAGAGGAGCTGCCTGGGGAGGGAACTCGACCCTCACTGGTGACCGCCTCCTGCCGCGCCACAAGCCGGACGGGGACGCGCGCCTCTGCCTGCACGTGCGCGGGAAGCGGGCTGGAGGTGGCGCCGTGCTGGCTCCCGCGCCAATCTTCCATCAGTACCCGGCCCGCTTCCCGGGATTCGGAAGTATTTACCTTGCGTTTCTCGGTCCGAGAGTCAGAGTCAGACATTGGGGGGACTAGAGCCAGGGGAAGGGCACCGAGGCGGTGGCGGCGGCGGCGGCGGCGGCGGGAGCGAGGCGAATCCAGCAGTCTGAAGCGATGCTGGCCTCAGAGGGCAGGGTGCTCAGGGAGGCTGAGAGAATCTGGTGACGGCGGCGGCGACGAGGGACGCAGCGCTCCCGCAAGCTCGAAACCTGGAGGCGGCGGGGAGCGAAATGAAACCTGCGCGGCTTTACTCCCCAGCTCAAGCTGGAGGCCCCGCGCTCGCGCCCAATCACCGAGGGCCCCGCCCCCGATAAGTCCCGCCCGGCGCGCGGGCTGGCAAGCCCCGCCCCCGCGGCGTCGCGGCCGCGGGCGCTTGCAGGCACGGACAGGTAAAGGCGGGGGTGTCCCTGCTGGGTTCCCAGCTGCGCGCGCCGCCGTCCCTGCCCCTGCCGGGCGTGTTTACTGGAGTGACTTGGGCTGCGGACCGCTCTGTGCGCACCCATCCCCCACCCCAAAGTGTGCCCTCTCCTCTCTTCCCCGCCGCCAACCCCCCCGCCCCCCCCCGGCCATCCAGTGGGGGCCACGGCGTGCGCGTGGAACAGAGGGGGTGCTCCGGGCACACTGGGAGCCAGGCGCGGCCGCTGCCGCCAGCGGAAAGCCTCAGGAGGCGCCCCTGAGCCCAGGCTCTGCCTCGGGAGTTCTCTCGGTCGCCCTGGGGCAGGCGCCAGGACTGGGTGGGTCCTCGGGAACGCGCGGGTCCAAGGGTGAACAGGGGGTCTCTGAGCTCTCCTCCCTTCCAGATTCCGGGGGTCCGCGTGGGACCCCCATCCGCAGGTTGCTCCTCTTCCTCGCCCTCGCCTCACGCGGTACTTTTTAGGCGCCCTCTCTAAGCCACCCCTGCAGGGCCACCCGCGCCGAAGCTCCGGTAAGAGTGCATAGCCTTTGGTGGTGAGTTGAGAAAAGGGCCAGGAGCGATCCCCGGAGGCGTTTTTTCCGCAGCCCTGGTGCGAGGCGGGAAGCGAGCGAGCGCTGAGCAGGTGAAATAGGGAAATGAAAAAAGAACTCAAAAAAAAAAACCAATCATTTTAAGAAAAAAGGACTGAGAAGAGTCGTGGCCTCCAGATGGGAGAGAGGATGGTGCCTCCACTTGGTTGGGATACTCGAGATTTGTTGGGCTCTCAGAGAACCGTCCAGGAACCGTCCCTAGGCGTGTTACGGCCAGAGATGACAGCGCCGAGGGCTTCGGACGGCGCCGTGCAGAGCAGTAGGGAGAGGGCAATACCTCCCACCCTTCCTCCCTGCGAGTCCCCTTCCCCTTTTCCTTGGTGTCCGAAGGCCCCACTCCCGCTCCTTCCCCGGAAGACCAAACTCCGTGAACACCCTGGTCCTCCTCTAGGTCCGCACCTCTATCTGACATTTAAACGCGCATCCTGCATTCCCACTTCTGCCCTTCTCTGGGCTCCCCTGGTTTTGAGAGGCCCGCAGCGGAGTAGTGGGGGGCAAATCTGTTGGGAGATGAAACATCCCGCCGCGGGAGAGACCAGGCTAGATGGACTACAGACTCAATTTAGGGGCCTCCCTAACCCGCACCCCAGAAGGGTGCCTCGGTGCAGAGAAGCAAGACAGTGAGGAGTTGTCCCGCCGTCTGGCCACCTTGGTCAATTTTTATGTTTTGTAAGCAGATACGGAACGTCAGCGTGGCAACACGGCCCCAGGTCCAGGTCTTCTCCGCGCATCCTCCCGAGAGTCCTTAGCGAGGTGAAGGAGGCCAAGGGCTTCTGGAGGGGCTTGAGAACGCGCGCCGGGATCCACCCCGGGGATTTCGCTGCAGGAGGGAAAGGACGCGGGTGTGGATGTGACGAAGTAGACGCAGAGGCGAGAGGTCTGCGATACCCGCATCTGGAGCTCCCGTAAGTGTTACAGGTGGCGGCCGCAGGCAAACTCTGCGCCTTAACCGCCTATCGTGGCGCCCGGGGAAAACGGACCAACCTGCTGTGCGGGAGAGGAGCCCCAAACCCGCCGCGCGCCCGAGTGCTCCGCGCTCTCCGTGGAGTTGGACGACGCAGACAGGGACCGGAAAAGAACCACACAGAAAAAAACCCTGATGGTTGTCTTCTGCTTCTGTGCAGCTCCGCCGCCCCCGCGTCGTCTGCTCTAGTGACCCTGAAAAAAAAAAAAAAAAAAAAAAAAAAAAAAAAAAAAGGGGTCGGGGAAAGCAACCGTCTAAATACTCTTATTTGGGGGCACAAGCAGGAGGTCGGCTCGGAGGCGGCAGTTCGTGCAACCCAGACTCTGCTGGGGAGCTTCGGCCAAGCGCCTGGCATCGGGTGACCACGCGCCCTTTCCGCCCTCTCCCGCAGAGTCCGAGTCTAGAGAAGGGCGGGTGGGCGTTAGGTCTCCGCTCCGGTCCTGGATGTCGCCTTTGCAGACACAAGCAGAGCGATGTCCCCTCCTGCGTCCTCCACGAGATGTGGAGAGGGAGAACGGAGGGTGGCTTGGACTGAAAGCAAGAATGAAGTCGGGCGACATCTACGGCCCTCGCTGGAACCACAGGCGTCGCCGGCGTGGTCTCTCCAAGTTCCGAAACCAGCTTAACTGCAGTGTATTGCCCTGCAATACGGAGAGGTGGACTCTCCGTCCTCTGCAAGCAGCGGGAGGCTTCCTAACGCTTAATATCTTTATTCAACTTTATCTGTCTCTTTGCTCGTCTCAAGAATAGATTACACATTCATTCGGTCAAAACGTTTTCTGCGCTTTGTCTTGCGGTCCCTCCGGAAGCTGCCTGCTCTGGAGGGACGAGCCCCGGTTCGTGCTTTGCCCAGAGCAAAACTCCAGGCTCACACTTCCCTCTTCCATCTCGTGTATTTCCTCGCGGAGCCCAAGGGGGGCTGGAAAAGCATCACTTGCTGGACTGAGCCTTTGCCCGCGGGTGTTTGATTTTCATAGTTTTCTTTCTTTCCACCCAACACAACAGTCTTCCCAAATCACTGGGAATCTGAGTCACCACTGACAGCGGGAGGCCTTTGGTGGCAACCAGTTCTGGAGCGCGCTCGAAGGGGAGCCCACTCTGCCTAGGGGGAACTGGTGACTTAGGCGGCAGAGGGCATGGCCCAGCCAGTCGTGGTTACAAGGAGAGGATAAAACGCCGCACTCTCGGGGCTGCCACCTGGCTCCCTTTCCCAACAGCCGTAGCGCGTCTCGCCAGGCTCAGCGGGACCCCCACTGCACGACCAAAATCCCCGAGGGCCGCGGCCCAGCACGTGCCAGCCGGCCTCGGGCCCCAGCTCCAGGCGTCTGAGAAGCGTTCTGGCAGCTGCCGGCGGGCCACCACCCTTCCCGCCACCCCCGCTATAAGTTGGCTCCCAGCTTGGGCCGCGGAGACCGCGCTCCTTCCCGGGCCAGGGGATGCTGCGGTGTTGGGTAGAAGGCCCAGGAGGCCATCGGGTTTGGCGATTCCAGCGATTGGTGCGTGGAGGGAGGTGTGTGGGATGTTAAAGGCGGAGATCACCCTCAGGGCATCATCCTTCAGTGAGCTGCACAAATAGAGCAACTGCTAAACACGACACAAAGGGAGGGGTCAGATGTGCTCACTCGTAGCGATTTGATGCCAGCGGCTTTACGCCCACCCCCGAAGCCCCGGCACACCGAGCAGCCGCTGACACTAGTTTCCCTTCCGATTTCCTGAGACCCAGGAGGGTAGAGGCTGTTGGTCACCGTCACAAGCCTTTTTCATCTTAGAAATTCCTAACTCTGACACTTAGTCTGGCAGAAGCCCACTTATTCCGTGAAGGGGTAGGGGTGGGCTCCAAGTTAGCTGGCAGCTGGAGACCAAAATCAGAGAATGTATCAACTTGCCCCTTTCCAGCCCTTCTCTCTCCACCCCTTCGCTCCCCTCCGATCCCCTTCCCCCCACCTCTCCTTCAGTTCTTTCCCTTTTCCTCCGTTGCACCTCTGGAGTGCCTGGGGTGCCACCCTCTGGCGTACAGAGGCAACTGAACGGAAAGAGCATCAGAACAGGTGAACCAGAGGAGACCTGCCCCAGTTCTATTGGGACTAGCACCTCCCACCCATGGCTGGCAGCAGGCCATGGTTCCTGAAACACCAGCACAAGGGGACTGGGGGACCAAGACCAGGCACGGGCACCTTTGTGTGCCTTCCACCTGGCTGCTGCGGGAAATCTACCTGTGGGAAATTAGCACAAAAGAACCCCACTGACACCCTCCACGTTCTGACAACCTTTGGAAGGCACGGATAAGTCTTCCTTGCAGAAGGGAGAGGGAAATGAAGGCCAGTGATTTTGGAGGAGCTGCATTGAGTGTGTTTTTATTTCATTTTCCATGGTTTAGGTGCCAGGAGAAAAGAAAAAAACAGCTCTCAAAAATAATAGATTGTTTTCCTAAACCTTGACAAGGGCAAGACAGAAGAACTGCTTTCCTTTCCACTTAGCAGCTACGCACTTTACTCCTCCATTTTTTTTTTTTTTTTTTTCTTGCGTTATGCGGGCCTCTCACTGTTGTGGCCTCTCCCATTTGCGGAGCACAGGCTCCGGACGCGCAGGCTCAGCGGCCATGGCTCACGGGCCCAGCCGCTCCGCGGCATGTGGGATCTTCCCGAAACGGGGCACGAACCCGCGTCTCCTGCATCGGCAGGCGGACTCTCAAGCACTGCGCCACCAGGGAAGCCCTACTCCTCCATTTTTCAAGTTTTCAGCCAGCCATAAATTTCTTTCGCTCACCAAATTACAGTTAGCCCCCAGGTTTTTATGGTTTATTTTTATGGTTTTAAATACATCGCCTAACACCAGCCCCACCTTTGCCCTCATGGCGGTGGCCATCGCTGAGCTGCACTAATGCTGTTAAGACTACACGTCTTTGCAGCAGTTCAAAACGCCATGTCAGGTGTTCAGAGACAATGAGAGTAGGGCCCCCACAGAGGGGTGGGGTAGGGTGGGGGAAGAGCATGAATTTTAATAGTCCAACAATCCATCTTCCCTTACAGCGTGCTCTATTACATCAGTAATTTCTAATGAAAACCTTCATTCTTTACACACTGTGGTTAAGCATCATCAAATCAGTACTGAAAAGACTTTGATCATATTTGCAAGATGTACTATGATGAACTTTCACTGACCAAGATTTCAAAGTTTGTAATTAATACTCCTGACAAATCCCTGACTAATCTGTCAACTCTCAATGTCTCTACCCACACAGTTCAAAACCATGAGATGGTGTACAAATCCCTAAACTTTCCACATATTGTAATATCATTATTCAAGACAGTTTTTCCTTTGGTTAGCATTATGAAACTCAACCAGTTTTGTCATCTATTCCGCAACAGGGGAAATTCAATTATTCGAATGAGCACTGTGTGGAAGGGAATATGGGTTCGGTCCGTCTGATGCCAAACACAGAATAAGGGTCCAGAGGTAGAAATTACAGGAGGCAGGTTTCTATTCGATATTTTTACACTTTTAAGAGTGAGAATAAAGTAGATTTTTTATGAAAAAGGAATCCAATGGCTGGTGAAAAAGAGTGTTTCCTTGCATGTAAGTGTTCAGGGACCAAACCCTCCAAAGACACTTATAAAGAGGAATACTGGATTGACTGAGAAGACTGTTGATTGCTAAGATTCTTTCTAAACCTGAATTTCTGGGGCTGTGTGAAAGAGCCCTCCTTCTTGCTTTCTCCATGTGTCACAGACTGCAACATGAACCCAGAAGGATTAGTGTCCAGATGGAAGGATCAGGCATCATTCCTAATATAACGCGTTTGACTCTGATCCCAGGTTGCCTCCCACCTCTGCCTGGGGGGACGATAATAATAATGATCATTCTTCTACTTACAAAGTATGTACTGTAGTCCACCCTGTGTTAGGGGTTTCCTGGGCACTGGAGTTAGAGGCGCACACTGCAGAGACAGGCCTCCTACCTCGTGGAGCTATTAAGCAGTTTTAGAGATTTTTTTACAAATACGATCTTCATACAAAGTAAACTTAGGTAGCTACTGTAGCATTGGTTAGTACTCGGTTCCAGCATTTTCTTATTACCAGAGAGCCCTTTAGGACTTAGCCAAGTACTATACAAGTTTAGTTTCATTACCAAACATATACTTTCATACTGTAAGCATAAAAATGGTACATGCTGTTGCCACCTTCCCTCACCCCATCCTGCCAGCATGTGAGCCAGCTGTGCTGGATAAAGCACCCCAAGCCCACCAATCTCTTTACAAAGAATACTCACCAGTTTTTGAAAAAACATCACTGGAGAAGTGCCCTTTAAAAATAAGAGAATATGAACAAGTTATAAATTCTTGCAGAAAATTTTTAAAAGGACAGCCCCAAAGCAAGGGAAGTATTGGTCTAAAATGAAGAACATAAGATCCATTGGATGTATCCGTGAGCAGGATTGGAGAATGTCTACTTTAAAGAAACAGGAAACAGCCCAAGAGGGAGGGACAGTATGTGGATATGTGAATATGTGGATTTGCGCGGAGGGATTTATAACATCGGTTTTGCTTTCCATCCCCACCTGGTTGCAGTAGATTAGTTTTTTCTTCCTCTTTTTGACTCTCCCTGCATTTTCCTTCTTCCAGTTGGGAGCGCAGGATGGCCTAGGATGGGCAGTGACTAAGCTTTACAGCCCTCTAAACAAACTCTATTTTTCCATGGTGTTGGTGTTAATTATACAACAGATGCCCAAGGTGCAAGGTACCCGGTGTGCTTACAACACCCCAGCTATTCCTACGACTCTGTGCAGAAGGTTTTCCTGCCTCTTCCCATATCCCCACATCTCTGTTCCCAGCACCAGATGACCTTATGCTGTTCTCTGTTTGTGTAAAGTCCCTTACCCCAAGTTGAAATGTCCCTTAATTAGCTCCTTTCTTGCCTGGGCACCGTGATAGAGTCTTTTTCTCCACCCCTTGAATCTGGGCTGTCTTGTGACTTGACCAATGTGCAGAAAGTGACACTGTGTGAGTTTCAGAGCTTAGGCCTCAAGAAGCCTTGCAACTCCTGCTGTTGCTCCCCTGGGACCCTGAGACCCCTTGCTGTGCAGAAGCCCAGTCTGTTGGAGGATGACAGGCTATGTGCAGAGGGACCGAGGTGCCTTGGCCAAGAGCCAGACCCACGGCTAGATACATGAGTGAGGCCCTCAGGCCTGTTAAACTCAGATGACTGCAGTGACCCTACCTAAGACTAGCTGAAGAACTATACTAGAACCCAGGTTGCCTACTCACAGAATTGCAAGAAATAAACAACTGTTATTTCATGACACTAAGTTTTAGGGCTGTATGTTACACAGCAATAGGTAACTGAAACAAAAAAAAACTGTAATTCAAATTGCCATCCACTGGGGTTACCTTCGGCTGCATTTCTACCTTCTCACCTTAGTTATCTGAGGACAGTGCTATAATTGTACAATTAAAGCAGTTGACAGGTGTAGCTGACCAATAGGCTTAATGGAAAAGAGAGAACGTCAGTCCTGAAAGAATAGCTTATAAAGCCAGATGAGTGTCCAGTTAGTATCTGGGAGAGAATATGAATAGCAGGCTGGAGGTCTCACTGCAGGCCACCACCCAGCCCACTTCCCTAGTGCAGTTTAGAAGGCAAATCACCAGGACTTGCCTTATAACCATCCTCCACTCCTTCAGCATCTCTGTGAGGGGCTTTAGCCTCCAACGTAAATCCTCAGTACAAGCAAAGTGTCAAGGATGGGGGAAAGAAGACAGAAAATATTTGCAACTAGGGATCCCAAGTCTTGTAAATGCTTAAGTTCTCCTGTGCCATTAGTAGATGGGGTCTGGTCAGGCCCAGCCAGAGGCACCCTGTGTGGTGGACGGGTGCCTCTTTATCACCTCATTTCACCAGGACTGCAGTGTTTCCTGACTCGCAGAGATGCCTTAAACAAGGATGGCCAGCAGGCGTTCAGCTCCAAGGCCTGGAGTCTGTGTACGCTAGAGTGCGGGTGACAGGATGGAATGAGGTACTTATGTGAAGGCCACAGTGTAAGCTGCAGAAGGCAGCAAAGCAGAAAGTTATCAACTCTTTATCCCCCAAATACCATTATCAAGGCCTCTAAAAGCTTCCAAGAAACTCATATCCAGGTAAGTTTCAATGTGAATCTATCCATTTACACATAAACTCGGAGGGCTGAGTTGACAGGATGTGAAATCAGGCATGGGTACATGGATGCATGACTTGCCACTTCTATCTGGTTGGATTTCTCTATTCTATGATGCCTAAATTTTCTCATTTAAAACAGCTGTAAAGAGCATCCTCCTTAAAGACGAAGGTATACATCAACACATATGCTTTTCAACAACTGAGTCAGTGGACTCCACTTGGGAGAGGATGGGCAGCGTGAAAGTGACGAGCTGGGGAATAGATACAGAGACACCTTATCTTATGATTCGACCCCTCTGAGATGTCTGAAACCTCTCATGACAATGGGTGCACGCGCATGTGTGTGAAACAATATCAGAATGTGTCGCTTCATGTCAGTGAACCACCTTCTCCAATTTAGTTGTTGAAAATGTTAAATGAAATGGGTATCAG